AAATTTTAAAATCACAAAAGTAATCAATATGATTTTCTAAAATCAACGTTTGAACTTTTTTTATGCTCACATAAGCAGCTTAATGAACTCGCGCACACCAAAAAAAACTCAACTTTTGTTGAAAAGTTGTCATTTTCAAAAATAACTATATCAAAATTGACAAAATTACAAAATAATGTGAGGAGAGGGAAACATTTACAAGAAGCAGGCCCTCCTTGGTCTACAAGGGAATTAGATAATAGTGGAAGAGGAAGAGCATAGGTAGAAAAATGCACAAAAAACTGGCTTTTAAGCCCAAATTTGAAAACTCAGCACGCGGGGATTGCCGCATCTGTCTTAGGCCTCCACTGGCGTGGACAGCTCCGCTGCTCGCTCCCGCTCCCGCCGTGGAGGCCTAGTTAGGCTCGCGTTGGAGGTCTCAATTTCGCGCTTCCGGGCTCACCGCTGAACAGGCACCATTCCAAATCTTGTGAGTAAGTATTGTACCTATGTTGTACGTAACGTGGCAAGCAACCCGCACTTTCTTTGAACCCTAGGCAAGCCAATCAATACAACTAAAGAGTAGGGATAATATTTTACAAAAAGCCCATGCAAAAGTGATAAAAACTAGACAACAATTGGTTAAGTATAACAAAGAGAAAAACAGGGGACCATGGATTGTGGACCAGAAGTCAGGAGGATCCTATGCGTTGGAAGAACTGGACAGAACACTCTTGGTAGGGGTATTAAAATGATGGCTGTGTGGCATACCACCTGGAATGGATTTCTCTAACTTATGGTTATTGGCTTGGAAGAAGGCCTCGTGAATTTGGATATGAATATGAACCAATCTGAGACTTGCAAGGGACAAACTGAGTGCTTCTAGAAAGCCATTAGACTTTAGTTAGAGAAGTTCTATTCAGGGGAGTGACTACTCCCCGCCCCATTGTCCCCACCCACACAACCGGCTGCTGATCATGCTACTCCGACAGTTCGAGGGCAACCCCTCTCCAATCCCAAATACAACCACGCTCCCCCGCAGATGGTGTAAACCCA